CATTCAATCACATCCATCATCCATTGAACGGCTACTAGAAAAATGGATTGAGGGAATTGCTAACATGGCTAACGGCCATTTTTCTGAAGCCGTTCAATGGATGTAACTGCATATTCCAAGGTTCAGCGATGATTGAGATTATTAAAGCAAAGTCTAGTGATGATTGAGATTATTAACCCTAGTTTAGGCCATCGGAGGGTGGTTCTTCACATGGAAGAGCAAGCGCTCCATAAAGTTAGCCGATACCAATTCCAATGGAGTGATTGATGAGAATGAATTCATCAACCTCGCAGAGTTTGCACAGAAGGAACTAGGTCTAAGAATTGTCACTCAAGCATCATAGAATCCTTAATTTAGTACTTACTGTGAATAGNATCATAGAATCCTTAATTTAGTACTTACTGTGAATAGTGGTTTTGTAAAGTAAATAATTATTCATGAACTATTTGAACATTGAAATGTCTCATATGTTCATGTGCAAGGTTTTGTGCAGAACGTTTGAGCAATAAATTGCTGTTTCATGAGATCAATTTTTTTCGTTTCATAAAAGACGTGATTTTCGACAACCTGGAAATCATTTCCTGATCAGCCAGTCTAGCACTCCTCATCTGCTACCTGCGCCTTAGCTCCACGAACCTGTTACCCGTAGCGATCGAACAAAAAAAGGGAGGGAAGGAAGAAAAGGATAGAGTTGTAAGCAAAAACAATATCGAAACAGAAGAATAATCAAACGAGAAAGGAAGAATGAGAATCAAGGGAAATTTGTAAGACAGTTTTTAGCTGTTACAAAGAAAAACAACCTAGTTGGAAGGTTACAACTGATTATAAAAGGGAAAATATGTACACTAGTTAACCACCAAACTACCAAGGAAATAATATCTAGAATTGGGAAAAATAGTGGAAAACAATATGACAATGTTTCCATATCTATAACACTACTGTTGCACTATTTATGTTCTTATGTGATACAGTTTACGATCTATAAATAATCAGATTTGAAGCAGGATTTTGTGGAATTTATGGGTTTTTCCCATGGAACACCACTGTAGATTGCAGTTTGTACAAGGATATCAGATCTAGCCATAATAGAACAAATATCAGTTATAGCTAATCTGTCTTGCTTGTGATAATATATCCAAATCTACGCCCACAATTCAGTATACAGCCACCAGAGCATCACAAAAGTGAATGCAAAGAATATATATGAAAATAAGGCTGAATCTTAGGGACCAGCTAAACAAATACGAAGCTGCCCCTGAACCCTGTAGATCTTATATACCACTATTTGTCACGTGTGAGATTAGATAGCTAACCGTCTTTGAGGAGGGTCTTCCTTTCACCAGTACCCTGAATATCACGCATGAAAAGAGACATTGTGATTAAAATTTAATTAATGATAGAAGCCTATTCTTTTTCTTGAGGATGACAGGAGATCTATTTCTAGATATTGTCTTCGTTTCTTCATTTATCAATATTTATATTCATTGGTCAAACTTTGTTACATCTTTTTCTCGTCAATTAGCTAAATCAATAATAACCACCAATCTTAAGAAGCTACCTCAACACTTCCAGATAATGAAGATAATGCCTGCGTGCACATCTCAATTTCAAACTGCTCAATCTTCAAACATCAATGAAAGGAGGCGGAAGTTTCCAGTAATTCCATTGATTAAAGTCCTCCTGAAACCGAGGGAAAAATGAAGTTGATAAAGTAAAAACTGAAGAATGCACATTTAAGGCGTGAACATTTTTTTATGTTTTTGTCCCCGTAAAATAATGTAACAAGTTAATGACATGCAAGGATATGATAGAGTCGAATAGCAAAACTAGAATCGAAACCACGAATCACGTTCAACTCCCAGGTGCATAAAGAAAGAATAGGAATAACATGTTTTTGAATCGAAACCACGAAGCACGTTCAACTCCCAGGTGCATAAAGAAAGAATAGTAATAACATGTTTTCCAGAAAACTATTCATCGAGTGAAATTGGTAATGAGTTCAACTGTCAAATAAGTAAATAATGTAGAGAAAAATATTGATAATGAGCCCTGTAAAAATTATATAGAATACATATTCTTCAGCACAAGGAGGGAAATTAATGTCCTTGAAAGTGAATTGGATGTAATACTTTGAAAGTGGTACCCAGAAAGTGAGAGTCAAACCTGCTCAGATGATGACATGGAAGGAAACATGCCATGCACAAGGTCGAAAAGAGACGTATATGATTTGGTATGAGTTCGCCGGTTTACAACAATCTCACCCTGTAAATATTTCCACAGATTTTTAGATGAAATTTCCATCCACAGAAAGAACTTGTACAATTTTCACCATCATTTCTTAGAACTACCTTTGGATTTATGATAAATATTTTTCCTCTAGGGATTCCAACCTTCAGGTAGCTAAACTCATCAGTGTCTCTGTTTCCAAAACCAGCATAGAAGGGATTTCTATCAGAAGGAAACAATGCCCTAATAACCTGCAAAATTGGAAGAAAAATAAGTTCAAATCTGTCCTCATTTTAAACATGAAAAGATGTGTACAGTTTCCTAGCCTCCTTCTGTTAAGTCACTTATTCTAAAAGCTTAAGCTCTGGAGGATGGCCATAACTAATCATTTAAATCTTATCTACAGCAACCACCCTCATATGTAGGCATAGTCCATTTTTTTTTTTTTCATCGAAGCCTTATATGTGCACAATTTCATTTGAGCCTAGGATCTTTGCCTCCAAATTAGAGCCTGACAAGCCCAAACAAACAATTCTATTTGTCTAAAGCTCAAATGAGCAATCAGATTCCAAGATTGATGTTCTCAAATGGGGGCATGGAAAAATCCGATATTTGTAATAGATAAAATAAACAACCAACATAAAAGGACTTGGGCTATTCCACTTAATAAGGTTGAGCTTTTCATATAGAACTTCAAGACTTAATAAATATGGCATTTTCTTTCTCATAGACATAATTAAGTTAATCGAGTTTAAGAACACATTGACAGATAATTAATGGAGTCAATGCTGGGTAATTGGCCTTCGATCAACCCTCAAAATTTCAGCCAGTTACGACCCTCTGATCCTTCCAATCCTTCTAAAAAGACTCACTTATCGGCCAACTCATGATCAGACCATCCCACCACCTGATCAAGGTGGACGCATGGAGAGTTCTCCCTCAACATCCAAACCTAACCACTCAGCCTCCAGCCATCTACTTCCACCACCACATACCGGCCTCACGCCAGCAAACCAGGGCCAATCCGCCCTTGGAAGCCACACGCAGGCGACGGCCCTAGGTGCAAACCCTAGCACCGCCGCTCGAGATCCTGATTTGGCACCTGCTCCGGCCTTCTACAGGGTCAACGCGCCCTACCGGAAGATAGCCGGGGTCATTCCGACCCCGGTGAAGGAGGCGCTGTTCCCGGGGCGGCGCGCCGGCGGCGCATGCGCGTGACGCTCCAGCAGCCGGCAAACAGCAGAATGCCCGTGATCTGCCCAGGCCATTCTAGCCCCCCGTTCTACTGTCGGATGCATCGTTTCAACGGCATGCGGATATGTTTGGTACAAAGGAATTTCATCTTCGAGTTGGAGTGGAATCAAATGAGTTTTTTGTGTCTATTAATGAATCCGGCATTGTGAGGTTGACCGAATGGGGACCGAGGACATCGAATGCTATATATATGGGGAGGTATGGTGCCTTGTGGATGGTAAAGATGATGGATAAATTGAGGGAGGCAAGCAAACAAGCCAAGTTTACCGAGTCATCGAGAGCTTTTATGGCACAGCGTTGTGGCAACAGTCGAGGTAGGTATTTGACGATAGCAAAATATGGGGAGAGGCGTCGTAAAGGAGTGGTGATGGTACCGGAAGGTGCAAATGGAGAGGGATGGGAGTCGATGCTGCAAATGTTTCAGGCAGTTGTCGATTTTTTTGTCAATAGAGACAAAGTTAAGCGTCAAATGGTTAAAGCCAACTATCAACAACGGAGGACATATGCTGAAGTTACGGCAAACCGACAGGTCGAGCAGAACACGAAAAAGCCAGTGCTATTACAAAAGGATAGCAAAGGTCATCCTTTGATACATAAGTTGAAGGAGATAACGCCAGAAGGTAAGTTCACTGAGTAATGCTGAAATAAGGGCTCGCGTCCAGGGGTTGAAAGGTGAGGTGGATGAATTGTTGAGGCTACTGGGAGGTGGCGATCTAGAGGGTTCCAAGATGATTTGCTGTCATAAGTGCGGGGCTGGTATGTCTGAGTATCCAGCTAAGAAGATACAATCAAACTTGTTTCAAACTAAAGACACGCAGGTAATGATTGAGCCCATCAGAGGGAATCAGGTACGGTATGACGTGGAGTGTAGAGGAGTTGACGAAGGAGAAAAGATTATGGGGTTGGATATGGATGACAAATATTCGGGGGAAGAGGCATCTCAGGAGGCAGAACCTTCATCGAAGGGAGGGGAACAGAGAACAAAATGTACGGTTGTGATGGCATTGAATGAGACTTTTGAGAAGAACGAGGCAACTGTGAATGAGGGAGACATGATCACAGCTATAGAGGGAGTTGAGTTGACAGAGAAAGAGACCGAAATAGTGATTGCAGAGGAATCAAGTCTGGCACCGACACAAGAGTAAGTGGTGACAGGCTCTACTACAATGATTGTGAACACTTACATTAGAAGGCATCCTAGGTCTCTTACTAAAAACGAGCTAGGAAACGATAAAGCAATAGTAGTGTGGGAAGAGTGCGTCAAAAAAGGTATAATAGACAAGGGTACAGCACGGGTGGAGGAGGGGGAAGGACAGATCTTTGAGCCTATTTGATGTTGCTATGCAGGGGAGATAGTTAAAGTTACTGCACTTGATGTTGACCTCCGGTTTCAAATTGGGTTCTCCATAAAATTCAGGAATTCAGCAAGATGGTGGGTGTGTCTTGTGATGGGTATGAAGATAACCTTATGCACTTGTTTAAGGAGTTGGAGACTTGTAGGGGACAGGGGATGTGTGCATCAGGAGGAAGAGCAAGAAGAAAAGGGGACCGTGAGCTTAAGCAGCTTGAATGTTCGATAAACTATGACGTTAAAGGGAGTGAGTCAAAGAGAGGGTTGTCGGGGAGGGAGGAAGGAGAGTTTAGATGATCCCAAAAATTATTAGCTGGAATGTGCGGGGGCTCAACTAAGTTGGGAAAAGGCTCGGTGTACGAAACATGTTAAGGGGATGGCGGGCTAATCTTGTCTGTTTACAAGAAACGAAGTTAGAGGTCA